TCACTCAGTTCTGCAGTTCGAAGGGTCCTGTTCCCAGGGGACTGGGGGGAAGCAAGAGTCTCATTCAACTTGAGGCTCATGAACACCGACTCGTGCTGGCAGTTCCGGATAAACGCTGTCATCTCATCCTCACGACTCTCGGAAGCAGGTATTTTTCAGTTTAAGACACTGAGGCTCAACAAGGTGAAGTGACTTGCCCTGGTCACACTGCTGGGAGGTGGCAGGGCTGGGATTTAGTTCTGGTTTGTGGATGCCCAGGCCTCTGTCCCAGGAGAGGTAGCTTCTCATGCGGTTTGGGACCTGTGGAGGGGAAGGTGACAGGAGCCATCCAGGTGGAGAAGCAGGAAGGATCAGTAGGGGAGGTAGCTGGAGGCTGGGGCCTGGATCCTCTGACAGGAGCAGGCGGGAGGCTGAGTTGCATCCGTGGAAAAAACCCATCACCTCTAGTTGACTTTGAGGTGAATGAGCAGAGTTTTTTGCTTGTTTGTTTGCTTTCCAAGGTTTTCCTGTTGGCAGGGGCTTGTGTCCTGAAGGCCTGCTTCTGGCCCGGGTCCACCTGCCAGTGGAGGCCGAGTGGACTCCAGACTAGCTGCTCGCCTGAGAAAAGCCAGGGCGGGCTCTCGCGTGTCCATGGGTGCTCTGCAATGCGGTGGTCGGGAGGGGAGCAACAGGGCTCCCGGGGCTGGCCCTAGGCCGGCTCCCCTCCCCCTGGGGTCTCGTGTCTTCTCTCGGGCCACGGGATCCCACACACGTCCTTGGCTACAGCCCCTTCTCTGAGCTTCAGGTCCGGCTGTCCCCCATGCACTGGCCCCCGCCACTCTTGCCATCGTGTCCAAACTCGGACTCCTAGAAACCCCTCTCCGCACGGCCTCTCCCTGAGTTTCTGAGCTCTAGAAATGGCCCTGTGCTCCAGGAGGCGCCTCGAAACCACCTGGCTCTCACTTCTTGTGTCACCTTGATCCCAGATCTCATCCATTTTCTTTCCATTTCTGTCACCCGCCCACAGTCACTTTGCTCCAGGGGACTGTGGGGCCTCCCTGCCTCCTCTACCTGCTCCAGGCCTATCTCCCATCCTACCATCCCTTCCCCTTCCTCCTCTCACACTGTGGCCCCAGCCCTGAGCCCAGAACTAAGCTGAGCACTCAGCCACCCTTCACTCACTCCTCTGAGGTCTTGCTCTGCAGAGGCCTTTGCACATGATGCTCCCGGTGCCTGGAATGCCCTTCCGTCTCTCTGCCTAGCAGCTCCTGTTTATCCTTTGGGTCTCCTCTCCCGTGACCTCCCTGGCACCATGCCCTCCCCCACCTCCTTCCTGTGCCCACGGCACTTCTGGGCTCTGCGTGGCTCTGTGGACAAGCCCACCCGGTGGAGGAAAGGCTCGCTGTATCCAGCAGGGAGCACACAGCGCACATGGGGCTTCCGAGCCTTCGTCTGACTATCTGTTCAAAAGTGGGGACTCCTCCTCATCTCAGAACTGAGAACACAGAGCTTCGGCGAGGATCACAGGACACAGCCTGAGCGTGGCCACTCTGATTCCAAGCCTCGCAGGATGGAGTTTCGAGCGCAGATGTGGGCTCATGGGAGATGTATGTTTGATATTAATAGCAATAATTCACAAAATAATGAAATTACAGTCACCACCACCGTGCGCCTTCGCTTACTCCTCACTTAACCCTGAACGCCGGCCCCTGCTGTGCCCGCAAGCTGTGGCTGCCCTTGCCCCAGGGCCAGCGAGCGTGGCTGGTGCCCGCTGACCACCTCTCCACTCCTCCCCACTTCCCCTTTGTCCTTCCTCTTTCCCAGCGTATTTTTAGAAGTCCGTGTGCTTGCAGCCCTGCTTCCAGGACAGCTGGCCCAGTTCCCCTTTCCAGGGTGGGAGGACGCCTTCTTGGGTCCTAAAAAGAGGCCCCTCCAGTCTCGGTGAGTGACACGGGGCAGCGGGCAGTGTGGGCAGAGCAGCTCTGCCCTGGCCCCGGCCGCCCTGCAGGCGAGTGCGGCTTCCTCCCCGGCCGAGCTGCCTCTATTTTTAATGCCCGCCTGGCCTCTCTGCACCGGTAGGCTGGCTCGTCTTTGGTCGCGTTGGGGTTTTGTAGCTTGGACCGCTCACCTTCCCGGCAGGCCCCGAGGGAGGGGCCTTACCTGCTTCCTGATGTGTACCACTGCCACGCCACTGCCACCGCAGGAAGAGAGCTGCCCTGAGGGTGCCTCAGCCACCATCCCGTCTGTAGTAAAGGCAGGGAAACTGAGGCCCAAAGAGGGAAGGGGTCCATCATGACCGCTGGCAGGTTGGTGCAGAGCTGGGACCTGAGCCAGACCTGTCTGACTCCCAATCCTTGTTCATTTCCCACCTCCCCAGTCAGGCTGGGGCGAGGGCACCCACTTACAGGGAACAGGTCTACACTCAGAAAGGGGGGAACCTGGCCAGGGAGCAGCTCCAGCCTGGGTAACAGGGAATGGCCTTCCCTCTCCCCACTCCCACCCCCTCCGGGAAGTCTTCCCAGCTCTCCCCTGCCCTGGTGGGAGAAGACGCTTCCTTCTATCTCCGGGTCTATGCCATGCACACATCTGGGTCAGAGTCCTGTCAGCATCTTACGCCAGAACCCCCCGCCCCCGGGTGTTAGGACCGTGACTTGGTCACCGCTGTCCTCAGCGTTGCATAGTGCACTGGAGGACTGTTTATAGAACAAAAAGATCTCCCGCTTTTCATCCCGCTCTCCCAACACACTGCCTGCATGTGATCCGCCTCCTCTGGGGGCCGGCCTGAGCGAAGACCCTCCCCTGCCCCCTCCGCAGCCAGGCCAACCTGGACGCTTCTGCCTTAGGTTCTTGTCCCTGCTCTGCCCCTTGCTGACGGCGTGACCTTCAGTGACTCAGTCCTTGCCCTTGGCTCACTGCTGTGGGCCTGCTTCCTTATCTGCCTCGCGAAGACAGCCACCCCTGTCACTTCAGCATGTCAGGGCCCCGAGGGACAATGCGCTCATGGGAAGGACAGATAGTGGGACTACCTCTCCGGAGAGACGGGCGGTGGGAATACTTCTCGGGAGATGGACGAAAGGGAGGACTCCTCAGGGGAGATGGACAGCAGGAGTACTTCTCAGGAGAGACAGACAGCCAGAGTATAACAGTGGGATACTTCTCAGGAAAGACAGACACTGGAAGTACTTTACAGTGGGAATACTTCTCAGAAGAGACAGACAGCCAGAGTACTTTTCAGTGGGAGTACTCAGGAAAGACAGACAGTGGGAGTACTGGATGGTGGGAGTACTTCTCAGGAGAGACGGACAGTGAGAGAACTTTACACTGGGAGTACTTCTCGGGAAAGGCAGACAGCAGGAGTACTTCTCAGAGGAGAAGGACAGTGGGAATACTTTAGTGGAAGTATGTCTCGGGAGAGACAGACAGCGAGAGTATTCCTCAGGAGAGATGGACAGTGGGAGTATTTTATAGCAGGAGTAATTATCAGGAGAAATGGTCAGCAGAAGTATTTTAAATCAGGAGTACTTCTCGGGAAAGACAGACAGTGGGAGTACTGGATGGTGGGAGTACTTCTCAGGAGAGACAGACAGTGGAAGCACTTTAGAGGGAGTACTTCTCAGGGGAGACGGACATTGGCAGGACTTTACAGTGGGAGTACTTCTCAAGAGAGACAGTGGAAGTACGTTAGTGGGAGTACTTCTCAGGAGGGAGGGACAGCGGGAGTACTTCTCAGGAAAGGCAGACAGCAAGAGTACTTTACAGTGGGGGTACTTCTCAGGAGAGAGGGACAGCTGGAGTACTTTGCAGGGGGCTAGTCTCAGCAGGGACAGCATCGCAACCTCATGTCGGCTGAGCAACCTCGAACCAGGCACCGGCCCTCGCGGGGTCTCCTCTGCCTTCCGGTTGCCAACTCACACGTGCTCACGGGGCAGTGAGTTTGGGGGCCACCTGCCCCCAGAAGCCCCCAGGAGAGGCAGGGGCAGGGAGGGAGCACTGGACCGGGGGTCAGGAGCCGGCGCGCAGTCCTGCCTGGGCCTGGGCGAGGCTCTTTCCCTCTCTGGGCCTCCTTTTTCCCACCTGCCAATGGGGAACTGTTGAAATGTGTCAGTGGTTCTCGAAGTGTGTTCCCTGGAGCCGGAGGTTCCACCTCTGGGGGTCAGGGAGACGCCCTGTGGGTGGGGTCAGGTCGCTCTCTGCTGGATTTTGTTCGAAGAAAGGATGCTGTTGCAGAGCGAGGTTGAAGTCATCTGGACCAAAGGGATCAGACAGTCCCTCCCTCCCAGCCTTTATGTCCTGGAATTCCAGCAATTCTGGAGCATTCTGAAGCGCAGGGTGCAGGAACTTGGCCCTCTTCCAGCCTTTCTCTCTGCCTCCCAGAAGCACAATGCTGTCCTGCCCTCCCCCTTTTCTCTAGGAGGGTCTCAGTCAGGTCCTCTGCTGCTCATTCCTGGCCCTCGCTGGCTCTAGGCAGTGTTTTCAGCCTCCCAAAGGCCCCCCCCAATCCTCAGGGCCAAAAAGGGTCCTCAGAGCCTGTACCATCAGACAGGCATCACTGTCACCAACACCACAGCATCAACATCTTTATCACAAGTGACTTCTCAGTCCCACCTCTGAACCTTTGCACTGGCTGTTCCTTTGCCTGAAATGTTTGTTTCCTGGAACCCCCCCACAGGTCATCCCCCACCTCCCTCAGGTCTCTGTCAGTGGGCGTCCCCTCCCGAGGCTTTCCCCACCCGCCTCTCGTTTTCCTTACACATCACCTTTTTCACCCTACTTGCCACCGATGACATAGGGCATGCATTTTGGCCACCGTCGGTTTCTCCCGCTGGAGGACACGCCTGTGAGGATGGGCATGGTGCCCGCTCTGCTCACTGCTGTCACCCGGCCCTGGAGCCCAACCGACACCTCGCCTGTGTTATATCCATTTACACAGCTGTCCCCTCCAGGGCCCTGTGAGGCCGCACGGTTAGCTTCCCTCCACGGGAGGGGACGCGAAGGCCCAGCGACCAGCTCCAGGTGCTTACCTGGGTGGCACAGGTCCATTCTGAAACCCTCAGGGGAAAGGTGGCCCGCGCTCCCGTCACCGCTGACCCAGCTGCTGCTCTGGCTGGCCCGGCAGGGATGCGTCACCTTGACTGTAACACCCCCTTCCTGCCTGCCGGCCCAGCATCGTGTGGGGAGGAAGTCCTGCCCGCTGGGGTCTCGTGCGCAGGCTCTCCACGCAGCAGCACTTCCTAAAAACTGGCAGAGTGTCAGGGTCCTTTGCATTTGGGGTGTGACCAAGCGAGGGACAGAGGTAGAAGGGACAGAGGGGGGAGGGGCAGATAAAAAGAGAAAGCCAGTGAGACAGGAAAACACCCACACGCACACGCATACACGGGCACACTCGGGAAGGTGGTCACTGAGGACAGAACCTTCTCTAGGGGACCATGGGTATTTACCTGGCCACCTCCCCATCTATAAACCAAAGGATCACCCCCTTTGGACAGTCCTAGCTGGGCCCACTGTATTCCACTCCCAAGCTCCCTTTCAACTCCCACTTGAGAAAAGATCAATTAATTCAGTGCTAAGAACGGTTTTGCTTCTCTTCAAGGAAATGCTTGGCTTTCTTCCTGTCTGGAGACCAATTGGGCAATCTGTTTTTCTTTTCTCCTAGGCTGCTGGGAAACTCACCCTCTAATCTGAAGCCCACCTACAGCTGCTCTATTCTCCAGATGGACTTTGGGGCCAGGCTCCGCTGTCTGACTCTCAGCCCTGCCGTTCAGGAACTGTGTGGACTTGGGTCAGGCACTCACCCACAGGGAGCCTTGTTTTGCCTTCCTATGGAAGGGAGACAATAACACTCACCTCTGAGATACGGAAAAGATGGCAGGAGATGATGCGTGTGACATCATGGGACATGGGAGCTACTCAATAAACACTTTCATCTTTCGGTTTTGACTTTCTTCTGTGGTTAAAATCCATAATTTTTTTTTTTTGAGTTGGAGTCTTACTCTGTTGCCCAGACTGGAGTGCAGTGGCTGTTCCTGGCCACTGCAGCCTCAACCCACTGGGTGCCGGTGATCTTTCCGCCTCAGCCTTCCTAGTAGCCAGAATTACAGGCAGGCACTACCATGCCCAGCTGATCTTTTGATTTATTGTAGAGATGAGGTCTCGCCAAGTTGCCCAGGCGGGTCTTGAACCTGCAGGCTCAGGCAATCCACTCACCTCAGCCTCCCAAAGTGCAGGATTACAGGCTGAGCCACCGAGCCCGGCTAAAATCCATGATTTTATTGTCTATGCCTTTTCTGGCAGGTGGATTCAAATCCTTTATGGAAAAAGGTGTGTGTGGTGTAAACAAGTGTCTATGAAATAAATGCTCCTTCCCTGTAACTTCAAGGCACCTATTGGTTTTCATCCATTTCCCCATCAATCTGCCGGGGCCTGTAAGGGCAAGGTCACCTTTGCGTCCTAGTTAGTGTCCAGTAAAATGCTGGGGACGTAGAGATTGTTCGAGCGTGGCATAAATAAATGAATGAAGGGAGCAAAGAGGAGATGGTGGTAAAAGCAAAAGCTAACTAACCATTTCCCCGCCTTTGCCCTGTGATGCCGCCACTCCTCTGATCAAGAGGTAAAGTGTGCTTCTCCTTCCCTGGAAACTGAGCCAGACTTGAATCTTTTTGACCAATAGCATGGCAGAAATGATGTCATGTGACTTTCAAGGCTAGGCTTTAAAAGGCTTGACAGCACCTCGTGCTCTTGGCCTCCTGCCTCTCATCTGGCTGCCATGGGGACAATCCAGGCTAGCCTATTGGTGGAGGGAAGGCCACGTGGAGACAGGCCCTGGTGTCCTGGTTGTCCCCTGGTTCTGCCTCATGAGTGAGGCCTGGCAACACCAGAAGAGCCACTAAGCTGAGCCCAACCCAAACTGCAGACCCATGGAATTTTGAGAATTCAACAGTTTTCGTTGTTTAAGCCACCGACTTTTGGGATGCTTTGTTACGCAGCCAAAGCTCACTGATACAGATGATATCCAATGCCCTCATTTCATGGAAGAGGACATTGAGGCTCATTACTGGGCCATGCTGGACCAGGTGGGAACTTGGGCTAGTGGCCCATTCAGGGCTTGAAACCAGGCCTGCCAACTCCCAGCCTCGTGCACACAGGACTCTTAGACCTGCCCCTGCGCCCTGGTTCTCGTATCACTCAAGGCTGTTTTCTGGGAACTAGGTTTTTCTCAACTGATTTGGGCCTGAGGCACTATAAACCATTTCCTGGGTCCTTCTACAAAGAGAAATGTGGAGAAAGGGCGAATTCCCTGTGCAGAGAAGAGTTAACACAGCAGACTCGAGACTGCTGTCCTTAGAAAGTCCTGCTGGCAGTCCGACTGGCATCTGGGAGCTGACATTTAGGGAGGGCTCCCGCATTTCCCTAACGGTGAGCACCTTGCTGTGTTCTCTGCCCGTGCAGCATCCGTGGTGGGTCTCAGGGGTTTTCACACCTTGTTGCAGGAAGAATCAAGCATGTCCCATGTGACTCCTTGGGAGAGGGTCCCGGGGGCTGCCGCCTGGTTTCCTCTGGACTCCACGCAGGCACTCTTGCAGGTTGTGCTTTGCATGTTTCTACAGTCATAGATCACAGCTGTAAGTGTGACCGTGTATTGAGTCCTGTGAGCCCTTGGGAACCACTGAACCTGAGGATGGTCTTGGGGACCCCAACTCATCTTGCAGTGGACACAGTGGAGGTGCCTTGCTCAGGGGCATGGCTTGTCTGAGGAGTGGTCTCATTTTTGAAGACCTGACTCAAATACCACCTCCTCTGGGATGTATTCTGTGATAATACCTCCCCTCCCTCTCGCTCACCACCTTGGCCACATTTAATAGCCTGTATGCAGAGAGCCTGGGAGGGAGGGTATCTCTCACTGTGGGCAGCAAAGGATTTGGTAAAACTGGCAGAAGGGGAGTTGTGGAGACCTGGATTCAAATCCTGACTCATACGTACCAGCTGCTAATCTTCCCTTCCTTCTGAGCCTTACTTTTTATCATCTGCAAAATGGAGATAGTGAAGACTAGATTTGCTTATAACTCAAAATCACTCAGACCGGCTTGAACTGGAATTTATTGGCTCTGTTCCTGGAGAATCAGGAATGGGGTTGGGGACATGGGAGCCAGAGGCTCTAAATGTGCTTGTTTATTCTGTCTCTGTTTCTCCCCGGTTCAAGGGGACCAGCCTTGACCCCAGCAGCGACTGGACAGTCTCCATGTTGGTGTCCCTCATGGACGAAGCCCTTCTCCCTCGAGGAGCCCTGGACTGGGGGCTGAATCCCAGTTCTCTTGTGTGGCCCAGGCATGGGACTCACTCTGTGCTCCCTTATCTGCAGAGGGAGGGTGACCACGCCCCCTCCCTCCCGGTATAGGTGAGAGGCTGCAGCAGCAGCACGTGGGGGAATGCAGCCTGGATCCAGGTGTGCCGCCCACTGTGTGGGTCTGGGACCGTGGCCCTGCTGCGTGGGGCAGCTTCCTGGGCCTCCGAGAGCCTCCGCCCAGCACGGGACGTGGGCGAAGGGGTTTCAAGTGGAGGGACGATGTTATGAGAACTGTCACCTCACACCAAGACGGTGGCCAAGACCTCTGAGTGCAAACTCGGTGCCAAGCTGAGCACTGGGTGCTGGGGACAGAAAGTGAAACAGCCACCACAGCTCTGTGACAAGCCCAGACCAGGAGGGGCTCTTAGCCCATCAGTGAGGGCTTCATGGAGCAGGGGTGCCTTGGGTATTTGATCTGAGGAAGGAAAGAATACTTTAGAAGGTCAAGCAGGAATGTGTGAGGGAGAGCAGCAGGGGAGGATGGTCCCGGCTGAAGGAACAGCAGCAGCAGGCTCAGAGGCTTGAGATGGAAAGAAGGTGGGGCTTGACAGGTCGGTCTGGATCTAGTTCTGTCCGGGGTCTTCTCCTCTCCCCCTCTTCCCCCCATCCTCTGCCTCTACCCTCCTCTCAGCTGCTCCCTGGTTCCTACTTCCCCTTTCCCATACAATGCAGCAGTTTCAGGAACGGGCCCTTTTCCGCTGGGGACAGGAAGTCAGGCTGGCACTTCAAGAGCTGGTGCATGTCACATGCACCGAGCAGGGGCCCAGGCTCTGCCCCCCACCAAGCTCACTGCAAGAGCGGCTGGGAGGAGGCAGAAGGTCGCCCGTGGGCCCGGGGGGCTGTGTTGTGGGTGGCACGGGCTGAGTCCCAGATAAGCCAGAGGCGGCGTCTCGTGGCGTCACGCCTCCTGTGAGGTCACTGCGGTGGCTGCAGTGCCAGGCATTTCACGCTGACTTGACCGTGCCCACCTGCTCACTTGGGCCTCAGCCAGGGTGGGCCAGTGCTTATGTCTGGGTGCAAGGGGTCTTGGGAAGTGGGACCCTTGCGCTTTGTGGCATGCGGGTGGGAGGTGGGGAGGAGAGGCTGCCGGTAGGCGCCAGCCTGTGGGGCCCTGGAGAAGCCACCCTGAGACCAAGGGGAGGGCAGTGGAGAGGTGGGGGGGCACCTGGGTGTGGTCCCACAGGAGGGCCTTTCGGGAAGTGGTCGTCCATGTCCCTGGCTAGCGTCCAGTGTCTGCTGTAGGGAGGGCTGGGGGAGGGGCAGGAGCAGAGGCAGTTGTGGAGGAAGTGGAGGGAGTAGAGTGGGGTGGGGAGGGTGGTGAGAGGTGGGGGTGAGCTGAGGAGGGTGTTAGACCCAAGGTTTCTGTCTAGAGAGGATTCGGGAGGAGAGCTGGGCTCAGGCGCAGCCCACCGAGGAAGGGCCGGAGGGTTCCCCTCCCGCGTGGGGAGCCGAGGCTGCAGCTGCGGTCGTCCCGCCCTCGGGCCGTTCTGTGCCCCACTTTACAGGCCGGGAAACTGAGGTGCAGAGAGCTGCCTCCAGCAGGCCAGGACTCCAGCCCAGAGTTTGGTTCTGACTTCGGGGCTGTCGTGGTTAAGGCTGAGTCATCTTTCTGGGACGTGAGTTTTAGTTTTTTTCCAAGGCCACTCCTTTAGAGCTTGTGTGGGTTCTTTGAAAGACTGAAATCAGCAGTTAGACTTGTCTGCCTTGGCCGACCATGGAGTCTCAGCTTTTGTTCAAAAGTATAATTGTAGAGCTCAGCAAAA